GCTTGAGCATTTTAACACAACGTGGTGCGATCATCCCCCTTTGCGCGGAGTGAGGGTTCTCGACCCCGCACAACATGATCTACTCGACCACCGTTATGGTTACCGCAAAAAAAAAAAGAGGTAAAAACAAAAGAACGGTAACCTGGTTGCCGAGGTCACGAAGTGAATTGGCTTGTTTTACAACGTCGTTGCCAAGCGACGAAAACCCAATCCCGATGGGAAACACCGAGGGGGGGGTACAACGGGAGAGATGGGTGTTTATGCGCGAAGAGTGAATATCGGCATCGCCGAAGGAACCAAGACGTGAAGAGTACAAAAGAGAAGCCACGGCTACGGACTGAACTCCCACGCCATCCACCGAACATTTTTTCCGTCCAAACTCCGCCAAAACGGCCACCGCCACCATGAATGTACCCGGCACGAAAGACACATAAGGGCGGCCCATCGCTTATCTTAAGCGCAGAGACACAAGACGACCAACGTAGCACCAAGTCCCACTCCCCACTACAACACAACCGAACAGACCCTGGCGTCTGCTGCACGCACTACCAAGAAAGCAGCCCCCGCCCCCACGACTCAATACCTTTGTCGAGGAGTGGATGCGTTCTCGATGATGGCCACGGGGGTGTCTGTTGGGTAGGAGCGGCGCACGAGGTCCGCGCAAAGCTCCTCCAGGCGACCGATCGCCATGAGGAAGACGGCCGTCTTCTGCGGGTGGTAGTCGCAGATGTCCGGTCGCGCGTAGTCCTGCCCGTAACCGGTGCCCAGGGTTACCTGTCCGACGTGCGGGGCGCGTTTGGTGGTGAACGAACGTCCGGGAAAAGCATCTATACACATAACCCCCCGCACCAACAATATATGGCACAAGATGACACACACCCTCAGTCTACCGCACCCGGTGGCAATACGTTCATGGTCCCACAAGATGGACCTACTTTCAGATCAAGTAGTAGGGCGGCAAACGATACCACACACACACACACGGAGCCGCAACCCACCCGGTGATACTTCTGAGATACAAACCTATGTCTTTGGTATGTGGTGTTTTCCTGTGTGGCAAAACGGAATACCGCGAAGTACCGGCGCACGAGGTCAATACAACGTGCCTTCAAGATTCCATGCCAGCAAGAACCGCCGGCAACGATACGCACGCACTGGACAACGAAAGCACGCGACAAACAAGGAACTCCCGACACAAATCTGCAGTCAATAGGCTTGAACACGAAGCCCAGTTTCCAGCTGGTTTCCCTCCCCTCACTCTAAGGACTTTTGCACATCCCTCTCGACTGTGGTAATATCTCGAACGGGTAGTCTTCCTGTGAGATTATCTTGACTTTCTTAAGAACTGCTGTGAACCCCCCTCCCCCCCGTTCACCTGTGTCGCAACCCCCCGGTGGGTCACGGGGACCCCCCCGAGCAAGGGCGCCGAAAACACCGAGGATATCCCCGGCACCACCTTCGGCTCCACCCCCAGCTCGCGCATCACCAGGACCTCCTCGCCGCCCCGGCCGAAGATGAACGGGTCCCCGATCTTGAGCCGGACGACGTGCCTGCCGGCCGATAGCCCCTCTCGCATCCAGCGGTAGATCTCGCGCTGGGCCTGTTCCGCGCAGCCCGGGTACTTGCGCGCCACGCGTAGCTCGCCTTCTACCTGATCGTTTGTGCGATTTCGATTCGGGATAACGGGGAGATGCCCTTATTAGACTCTTGTGGTATGTTATATTTGTATCTTATGTTGATATTTGAATCATCCCTGAATATTCTGGACGTCGGGTTTTGTTTCGTTGTCCGCCTTCCTTCTTCGGGTGATCGTCTTGACTTTATCGCAAGAAGTGCTTTCGGCCGTTTTCCTTTGTTTTGACCGTGAAGTCGGACATCGTAATTTTCACTTTCGCGAAGTGCCGTGCGCAGGAACTTATCGCACTCCAACATTGTTTGGGCATACCGCGGTGAGAAATCTCCGAGATCATGTGACTGCACCGAGATTCGAACCCACGTTCCAAACGCCAGAACGCTGCGACGTACCTCCTAGAATGCACTACGGTCTGTGTTCGCGGTCTTTAGTCGAAAGTTTGGAGAAATTCCATTCGCGTGCCAACATATGCATATGGTGGTGGATACCTTGGGGACCACAGGCCGAAATTGGTCAGGAGATCAAGATATTTTGGCGCGGAAAGAAGGTTAAGGTTTCCCGGTGCAAGAGCATGTAGGGTTAGGGTTGACAGAAGGCACAGGGTGACCACAAAGAACGACGTGCTCTAAACAAGAAGGCTTGGTACGAGAATGCATATGTACGAAGGGACAGCAGTGGTTATACGGAAAAAATCTGAGCACTCGTGCAGCAACCCTTGGAAACCTTGCGCGTGCAAAACGTGCGGGCTCGGCTTGCGGTGCGGCCAGATGGTGGTGTGCTGCCGAGCAGCTGCTTGGCAGGTCATCCGTTTTGTTTCATCACTCCGCACAGCAGTCAACAGCCAACCTTGGCAACCTCTGTGTTCGTAGATTGCCTTCACAATCAGCAATCAGCCGAAACAAAACTCGCTTAACTCAAATCACACCGACACGAACCGTTACTTCACCACAGCAGGCAGTCTGGCGCTACTCTTTGGGTAGGTGGCTCCTTCCCCTTTAGGAGCGCTCAGAGAGGCACAAGCCCGACTTGCAGCCTTGTTCCAAGAGTCAGCTGACGCAAGCAAGGAACACCCATGCATAGCAGCAGCGTTGCCAACCTCGGCGAGATTGTACAATCGCGAGTACAACGCACCCTGAAGTGATGTCTCCGCTGGTTGGCAGTAATGTGGCAGTTGCATCCAACCAACCGACAGCAGGGTTTGACGTGTTCCCCCTTGCAAGAAAAAAAAGCTCACCAATCCCAGTATCTCTTTGGAGACGAGCCGGTCCGCGATGACCAGGTCGGCCGACTGCAGCTCCCGCAGGCCGGCGACTGTGAGCAGGTCGGGATCGCCAGGCCCGGAGCCCACGAGGGAACACGTCCCGATCTCCACCCCGTCCCTCGGTTCCCAACCGTCCGTGTAGTCCGTCGGGACAACACCGTCCGCTGGTGCCGAGCCAGCGAGAGCAGAGGAGGAGGAGAAGGAGGAGGAGAACCAACGAGGAGACCCACCTTGTAGTAGCCCCGGTTTCTGCTGGCTGGGATGCTGCTGAGACGCTCGCCCTGCTGCTGGCGCAACTGCTGCTGCTGCTGCTGTTGCGGAAGAAAAGGGGAAGTGTAATGGGCCGGCGGGCGGCGGCACAAAGGCCGCCGCACTCCCGTCGCATGTTAGGGTCACCGCCAGCATCGCGGCCAGCGCCCGCGGACGTCTTCGTCTCCTCGCTGATTCTGTCATTGTGTCTGGGAAAAGATCGGTGGACAGCAGTGGTGGCGCGCTGTGTGCGCGTGTGTGACGTGAGTGAGCTGCTGCACCCCCAGGCGCAGCAGCAAACCGCAACCGCAAGGGGAGCTCGCAGATCGCTTTATGGACATGACAGGTATCTGTATGCCGAAGACGGGTTCTGGACCATTTCTGTGCCCCCTAATTCAGTGGTCGATGGTGCAGTGTCGAGCTTCCAAACTACAGCAAGGCTACGGAGTGGAGGAGTACCGCGACCACAGCAGCGGGTTGCCCGTCAAACATGGTGAAGCTGGATGTGACTTGCATGCGCCATCTGTCGAAGCACGACATCAGGGTGCTCACGGCCGTGGAGGTAGGTGGTTGCTCGTACAAGCTTGGTCACCACTGCGCGTCGTACATACACGTGCCCATAGGCACCAGGCACGGACGTCTGTCCGTTCCTAACTCCTCCAGCGGCAAGGGCTAGGGCAGCCTGGTGTACAAAATAACTGGTTACACGGTGGCCATTCGCACCATTTTTGACGGGTTCTCGCTGCCCCTGGCTCACGAGTACGCCAACGGCGAGTTTGAAATACCAGACTACCGCTGAATATTGTCCCCGGTTCCGGGGACTCCCCGGAACATGGTACAGGGTACAGGCGGTAGGTTACCCCGCTTTTTTGCTGTTGGTACACTATACAGCAGTCGAACCTCGCTTAACTTAACACATGGATTTTCGCTGAAAAATGTTAAGTTAAGCGGGGCGAGTTAAGTTAAGATTCAGGGGACCACAACTCACCATCCCCAAGGCCAATAAAGGCGGTTAATACGTCATTAGACGCGCATTGAACTCCATGTGTGTCACGAACGAGGAGACCGAAAAGTTGGAGGTAAATATATATTTTTTGTTCCCATTTTACTAAACACTATAACCAAGATGATATAGTTGAAACGCTTGAACCTCCGCGCATACATTGCAAAACTCTGGCCGAGCGCACTCTACAATCACTCCTGTGGGTTATTCCCATGTGCTGCGACGCATTCAAGACATACTCAGGCCATCCCAAACACGGCGTTGGTTCGGAACCGCACACGCTACGACCTCCACATGTCGCGCATAGTTGCCTGCAGCTCCCCCCCCATCCTTAGCTCGCCGCTTGACTTGAGTTTCGTGAGTGAACGCATGCACAACCTTCGAAAGCAGGTAGTGGGTTTCGCGGTACTCCCCACCCTTTCCGTTCGCGTACAAGTAGGGGCGAACACTCTCTAGGCTACCCAGAGACAGCAGGTGCAGCACTGAGCAGCAGACCTCTCTGCGGTCTAACAGAGGGTCTCTGCCGACGGCTGTGTGTAGTAGGACCGCTGTTTTCAGGGGGGTCCGCGAGCTATATTTGATATCCCCCATCTAAAATGTATTCTGCGGGCCACCATGTTTCCAAAAAAAATAGTTAAGTTAACCGAGGGAGCTTAATTTTGGGTAAGTTAAGCGAGGTTCGACTGTAATACGTTTTGCCTTTCCTTCGTTCGTTGACGGCGGGGACGCCGTTGTTGAAATGATTCTGTAGAGAGCCATAGGCTGCTGTCTATGCGTGTGCTGTCATGCCGTCGGCCTTTCGTAGGGAGTGACCAGCTCTGGGCAGCTGGAGAAGGATGTCAGATTACTGTAGACAGCGTGTCCAAATTGTACGCGTGCATGTTTGGTGAGCTTTGGTGTACCTCTCCCCCTCGCAACGGCTATGAATTAAGAGGCAGTGACGAAGCAACTACATGTAGATGCAAACCGGAGAGGGAAGGGGGAGAAGAAACGTGGCAACATTGGCTGGTGAGTTGTCATGTCGCGTCCCGTAACGTTTATATTCCATTAGAACAAAAGCCGGGTGCATCCGTCCACATGGCTATTTGCTGTACATGTCGCCACGACACATGATGGCCGAACGTGCTGCCCCTATGGGCTGGGAAGCCTTCAGCCTTGTCTCTTAACGCCCGCTTGCTTGCTCCACTGGCTTGCTTCTTGCCGCAGATGGGGATGAAGAACCACGACCTTGTGCCCGTGGAGCTGATCTCGAGCATCGCCAAGCTCCGGCACGGCGGAACGCACAGAATACTGTCCACTCTCCTCACCTTCAAGCTCATCGCTCACGACCGCTCCTCTTATGACGGTCAGTGCGCGCCGCCCATGCGGGGGCATACCGTAAGAGGCGGAGAAATAACCCCCCTAGNCATCCTTAGCTCGCCGCTTGACTTGAGTTTCGTGAGTGAACGCATGCACAACCTTCGAAAGCAGGTAGTGGGTTTCGCGGTACTCCCCACCCTTTCCGTTCGCGTACAAGTAGGGGCGAACACTCTCTAGGCTACCCAGAGACAGCAGGTGCAGCACTGAGCAGCAGACCTCTCTGCGGTCTAACAGAGGGTCTCTGCCGACGGCTGTGTGTAGTAGGACCGCTGTTTTCAGGGGGGTCCGCGAGCTATATTTGATATCCCCCATCTAAAATGTATTCTGCGGGCCACCATGTTTCCAAAAAAAATAGTTAAGTTAACCGAGGGAGCTTAATTTTGGGTAAGTTAAGCGAGGTTCGACTGTAATACGTTTTGCCTTTCCTTCGTTCGTTGACGGCGGGGACGCCGTTGTTGAAATGATTCTGTAGAGAGCCATAGGCTGCTGTCTATGCGTGTGCTGTCATGCCGTCGGCCTTTCGTAGGGAGTGACCAGCTCTGGGCAGCTGGAGAAGGATGTCAGATTACTGTAGACAGCGTGTCCAAATTGTACGCGTGCATGTTTGGTGAGCTTTGGTGTACCTCTCCCCCTCGCAACGGCTATGAATTAAGAGGCAGTGACGAAGCAACTACATGTAGATGCAAACCGGAGAGGGAAGGGGGAGAAGAAACGTGGCAACATTGGCTGGTGAGTTGTCATGTCGCGTCCCGTAACGTTTATATTCCATTAGAACAAAAGCCGGGTGCATCCGTCCACATGGCTATTTGCTGTACATGTCGCCACGACACATGATGGCCGAACGTGCTGCCCCTATGGGCTGGGAAGCCTTCAGCCTTGTCTCTTAACGCCCGCTTGCTTGCTCCACTGGCTTGCTTCTTGCCGCAGATGGGGATGAAGAACCACGACCTTGTGCCCGTGGAGCTGATCTCGAGCATCGCCAAGCTCCGGCACGGCGGAACGCACAGAATACTGTCCACTCTCCTCACCTTCAAGCTCATCGCTCACGACCGCTCCTCTTATGACGGTCAGTGCGCGCCGCCCATGCGGGGGCATACCGTAAGAGGCGGAGAAATAACCCCCCTAGACCGATTTTCAAGGATCGATTTTTTCACAACCGAGCTTACGCCAACACTAACAATGATGGTTTTGGAAACATGTTGTCGAGGGCTTTCCGTGAATGTATTGGGCCCTTTCCGTGCTCGGTGTGGTTGTGGAGCCGTTGAGCTTTGAACGTCGATCTATTGCAGAGGAGGTTCGAACTTTCCGCCTCTTGCGGTACATTGAGGTGGCTGTGGTGACTTGGTTCGCCCTCGGTCGCTGCTGTGCCGAGTATGTATAGTATAGAAGAAAAACTGTGCTTCATTGGGCATTTGTTTTGTTTTGAACACGGAGAACGTTGAAATGTTCCCAGGCGTAGCCCGTAGCGTTCACCCAGCGCTTGTAGGTCAGGACGTCAGGACCTGGACTTACCTTTCGCCCAACGTTGGGCATCGTTTTCCACAACGGAGCCTCTCTCGCCGCCCCCGCTCAATGTTCTCTCCCCCGTGCGGACGGGGCTCATTGGCGTTTTTTTTTCTGGCCAATACCACCCCCCGCAACACGCTACAGGTCGCGTCCTCACCAAAGTTTGCTGCAAAGAAATTGAGCTTCGACAATCTCAAAATCTAACTTTACCACGATTGATGGTCAAGAACCCTTACGCTATTAATAAAATCTGAGTAGCGGCCATTTGTAGCCTTGCCCTATGCACAGGAACTAAGGACGCCAGCCTCGGCCTAAAGTAGATGCGGGCGCTCACGTCACTGCAACTTCTTGTCTTGTTTCAGGGTACCGACTGACGTACTCGGGCTACGACATCCTGGCCCTGAATGTGCTCCAGGCCAGGGGTCACATCTGCGCCGTCGGCAGCAAGATCGGCATGGGGAAGGAGGCCGACATCTACATGGCGCAGACCCCCGACGGGGACCAGGTGGTGCTCAAGCTGCACCGCCTGGGGAGGACGTCGTTCAAGGCCGTCAAGAACAAGCGCGACTACCTCAAGAGCCGGACGTCGGTGTCCTGGCTGTACATGTCGCGGCTCTCCGCGCTGAAGGAGTTCGCCTTCATGACGGCCCTGTTCCAGCACGGGTTCCCGACGCCCACGCCGCTCGATCACAACAGGTGTTGAGGTGTTTTCGTGTGGATGGGTCGGTGGGTGTGTGGGTCCCGTTTCTCCAGTGTGTGCTGTTTGTCGCCTTTTTTGGTCAGTTCAAGTTTTTTGGTCGCTGGTGGTCTGTGGTCGGCTCCAAACCGCGTTTGGCTCCGCCTCTTGAGATCTACGCTTGGGCGAAGGAAGCACGTGAAGTTCGACATAAAACCACGTGCTCTACGCTGCGATACCCGTTTGAGAGGGGGTTCAGTTACTTTTGCTCTTTGGCGGGTGCTATTCTCGTGTGGACCTGTTTTTTCCGACGGGTGAACGTGTTATCCGGGGCAAACCTCGCCGTTATGTGTGTTAAGACAGGTGTACCCGACAATCAGCTGGGCACAGAACGGCGACCCGGGCTACGCCTAGCTTGGCGAGTGCGGCAAAGCTCGATCAATCGATATTTTGCCGTCGCAATCGTGTAGTCCAACAAGTCTGTCGACGTGTGTCAATTCGAAAGAGCAAACGCACCAAACAGCGCCAATCGCTCCACAGAAAAGTGTTGGAGGGAGGAAATTGCACTTGCAGTGCCGCTTGCTCTCCTAAAGGCGCATTATTCGGTGCCCTCCATTCTACTCCATTCCGCATGTGAGGAAAGTACAATCCTGGGACAGACGAAAAGCATCTTGCGGACAACCGAGTGGCCCTGGTCTGTCGTCTTCGTCGTCACTCTCTTCTTTTTTCGCCCGTCGTTTCGATTCAAGGGTTCGGCACGGTCGTGCTCCATGCGAGCCGCTTGGGCTGAAAAACCGGTGTCTTTTTTTTTGTTTGTTTCGGGCAAATCTCACACACTTGCTGTACCGCGTGCTGTTATTCCCGCGCTTGCTTTTTGTTTGGTCAAACCAATCGAATCGTTAAAAAGGCACGTTGTTCTCATGAGCCATGCGAAGGGGTACCCCATGTATCAGCTGAGGAGCGGCGAGATGGGGCACCCGGACGTGGTCTACCGGCAGTGCGTGGAGATGATCGTCCGCCTGGCCCGGCACGGCCTCATCCACTGCGACTTCAACGAGTTTAACCTTCTCGTCGACGAGGAGGAGACGCTCACTCTCATCGACTTCCCGCAGATGGTGTCGACTCGCCACGCCAACGCCGGAGAGATGTTCGATCGGTGAGAGAGAGGCTTGTCACATGCGTACAGCACTGCGCTCCGAAATGTTTGGTGGCTGTTGGTCACACCCTCGGGGGATACACTCTCGCTGCCCGAATGCGGCCCTAGCCCATATTTCGTGCCGAGGTAAATTGTTGTATGGTGCTGCGGCGTGCGTTTGTTTTTTTTGCTTTTTTGCCGCAAATTCTTTTCGGCTGCCTATGGCTCGTTGCAGGTGCGGTACTCTTTTTTCGGGCCGTGGCCACGTGTGTCACTCATGGGCATAGACTCTCTTTGCATGCGACTTTACAGTCATGGAAAGCGTTCCCTGTGGGGGGGAATCCCTTTTTAGTTGCCGGTTTGTGTGCCAACTCTCTGGCTCGGGCCGCATGCTCTGTCCACCGTCCGAACGATCCCCAGCGTTTGTCGGGCGAATCTCCCCCCCGCTCTGTCTGTCTGTCTGTCTGTCTGTCTGTCTGTCTGTCTGTCTGTCTGTNTCGTCCTTATTCTCTCTCCACTCACTCGCATGTTGGCGTTGTTCATTCCAACGACCTTCTACATGTCCAGGGACGTTGCTTGCGTGGTGAAGTTCTTCTCGATGAAGATGAAGCACGTGCCGGAGCCGAGCGACATCCCTTCCTTCGCGGACGCTGTTGGTGGGGCGGGCCGCGAGGGTGTGGAGCATCACCTGGACGTGGTCGCACAGGTTTGTGACGCATATCATGCACATTGGGAAAGATGGCACCCCCCCCCCCCCCCCCCCCCCCCCCCCCCCCCCCCCCCCCCCCCCCCCCCCCCCCCCCCCCCNAAGATCAGTAGAGTAGAAAACAATGCTCCCGGTTGAAAAACTCTCGGTGTCGGCGATTGTCCACATGATTGACGAATCCGAAGGAAACGTAAATCGGATCGGGAATAGTGCCTTTTTTTTGTTGTTTGGTGATCCATGTGTGGAAGATGTGCGGACCGCTCAACTCCTTTCGTACCGGCACGTGCGTGTGGCGCTGTATTCTTTGTTACGGGGGGGGCTTGGCGGAGGAGTGCCCAGATATGCGTAGTGGTGGCAAAACATGAGAAGGTTCGGAGTTCTGCCGCTCTTTTTATATGTATTTCGTAGTTGTATCTACTGCGGCTTTTGGCAAAAGCCGTGGTTCCCAAGGAGTTATTTTTGACATCTGTGTCCGTGTGCCTGCATGACTGCACAGGCATCTGGTTTCTCGGAGAAGGAGGCCCACGACCTGGACGCGTTCGTTGCCACCGAAGGCTGGGGAGGGGGCGACGCAGATGGCGATGAGGAGGAGGAGGTGGACGGGGGAGAGGAAAAGAGATTAAACAGCGACGGTGAAGTCGACGAAGAAACCAAAGGATCAAAAGCGAGAAAGGCAAGAGGGGGAAGGGAAGGCGGTGGGGTCGAGAGCGAACAGGAGGAGGAGGAGGAGGGGGACGATGCGGCCGAGTGCAGCAGTGGCAGCTGTGGCGAGGAGGGCGAGGGCGAAGGCGTGCGAATACGACGAGTGAAGGCGCCGGAAACGGTCACGAAGCGCGCGCACGCGGCCGTTCAGCGGCAGCGGAGGGCGGCTGGGGCGGGCGGCGGCGCGGGGAAGCCCACGCGAAATCACCAGAAGAAGAGGGAGAAGGGGAAGATGCTGTACAAGCACCGGGACTTTTGAGAGAGCGATGCTGTTTGTTTGTTTATTTGGGTCAGCATGGGGCCGGCGACAACCCGGCATATCGCTCCGTCCCGGCGATGTAGGGATGCTAGGTCAATAGCCTGACGACCACGGCATGCGTTTACATGATAAGCACACACCTCCGTTGGCCAAAGGATCAACACGGATGTCCTCCTGTGTCTAAGTGAGTCGCACAGCTGTCCTCCTGATAACCCGTTGCAATTGTTTATATCCCCCCCCCCGAGAGAGACGTCAAGCGGCAATATGTCGGCCATTCCTGGGCGCCATTGCTGATCGTTGTGTCGTGGATACACCTTGACCGACTGGGCGTGTTCTTTTGAGTCTTTACCCCCGAGCCTTGTCGAGTTGATCAGCACAGGGCCACAGTGACGGCCGGCCGGGCCTTCCTCAAGTTTCATTGGCGGGAGTCCGTTGTGCGCCCTTGCTGTTTTTGTTTGTTTCGATGTCGCCTATGATCTTCTCGGAGAGAAAGAAATGTGTTTGTGCATATGAGCACGTCCGCGACGAGAACGGTCTGGTGCCGGTCCGTTAGGCCCTGCTGTTCCATGGCTTCATTCGGCCGCCGATCGTTCTGTCGATGTTCGGGGGCAATCGTGCGACCATCTGGTGCAGTCACGTTGACATCGACCGAAGTCAACTGCCGACATGTTTCGAGTTTATTTATCTACTCCCCCGCGAGGCCACCCCCCCGGTGTTTGCCATCGGGATTGGGTTTCGTCGCTTGGCAACGTTGTAAAACAAGCCAAATCACTTCGTGAACTCGGCAACCAGGTTACCGTTTTTTTTTTTTTCCTCCGTTTTTTTTTTTGGCGGTAACCATAATGGTGGTCGAGTAGATCATGTTGTGCGGGGTGGAGAACCCTCACTCCGCGCAAGGGGGATGATCGCACCACGTTGTGTTAAAATGGTCAAGCACCCTCGAGGCAGTTACACAGTGCTTACAACTGTCTCTGGAAGTGAAAGCACCAGAAAGTAAATTAAGTCATACGCAGCTGTCATCCGTACGCAAGGAAGTAAGCACAAGATGCCGAAAACCCTTAGCAGGATGCAGCGCACCCTTCATGCGACTCGCCGAATATCTCACGGCGCTTCGCGCTTGGTGATGTGAGAGCCTGGTCCGGTGAGAACCCGGCGTGCTCCGTCCCGGCTTTGTAGGGATGCGAGGTCAACGGTCTACCGACTACGGCATGCACGACTATGAATCCCCCCCCCCCGCGAGGCCAATGGTCTAGCGAGCATGGGTACACACACACCCAAGTTATAAGAAGGGGGTGGCGCCAATACACGCAAACCGCAGCGGGATGTCAGCGACGTAGTCTCACGACCCTGCTGAGCGGAATCAATTTGCCTAGGATTCGTGGGGCGAAAGCATGTGTCCCTTTGGAAGGACTTTCCCCGCTCTCTGCGGTGCCCCATCGCAGCTCTCCGAGTTCTAGCGGCCTAGGCCTGTCCTCCATCGGCCGTTTTTTTTTCCTTTTTCGGCCGCTTTTTTTTTCTCTTTCGACCGCTTTTTTTCCTTTTTCGGTCGCTTTTTTTCCTTTTTCGGCCGCCCCAATTTTTTTTCGGCCACCCCAATGTGTTTTTCGGCCACCCTGATTTTTTTTTCGGCCGCCCCATTTTTTTTTTCGGCCACCCCAATGTGTGCCCGTACTAGCCCGTACAGGTACCCTTTTAACACCCTCTCGAGTATCCTATGCTTGTTGCGCAAGATGGATCGGGGCTCGTCCATTTATCTGTGTTCTTTGGAAGTAAATAACTCTGTGTCTAGTCGCAGTAATGCACCGGTTTATCACTAGTCATCATTGAGAAAAAGAGTACTATTTCATACCATACGCCTCCGAAGCCTACTCTTTCGTGTTTCATCTCTCATGTCGTCTATTGCCCGTCGCTCATGTCCACGTCTACCACCCCCGCCTCCGCGCTAGCCCCTCCACCGCCAGGCCCCTCCTCCTCCTCCTCCTCCTCCNCCGCGCTAGCCCCTCCACCGCCAGGCCCCTCCTCATCGCTGTACTCTACGAGCATGTTCTTCTGTGTGCCGGATCCCCTCATGTGTGTGTGTGTGTGCCACGTGCTACCGTGTGCGGACTGCGTGCTGCGAGCTGCGAGCTATGGGCGAGCTGGAAGCTGGAAGTTTTTTGTGTTTTTTTTTTTTCAAGTGCGGAGACGCGGAGACCACCGCGCAAGTGAAAAAATGTTCGAAAAGGGTAGGTAGGTACGTAGGACTCCCCACAACATTGAATTTATGGGGGGGGGAGGGGGGTGGCCCATCGAAATCGGACATTGGCCGTGGCCGATTTGGAATCGGCCGTAGCCGACTGACATTCGGCTATCCCCTGGCCAAAATCGGCTGCTTTGTTTGCAAAATCGGCCACTTTGTTTGCAAAATCTAGGCCTGTCCTCCATCGGCCGTTTTATTTTCGATTTAGATACACAAACTTTATTTCTANTAGCGGCCCATCTATCCCCTGGCTTAGTATCCCTTGAAACGGCACATATTCCTGTTTACCCTCCCCTCCTTGATCGTCTTTGTTGCAAGGCACAACGGCCCGTGGCCCCGTTCGCCGAGATCTAGACCGGGTTGAACCCATTGAGCAATCCCCTCCCTTACAATGTTAGCCAAGCTCTGTGTCACGCAACCCAGCCATGGCCGGCACTTGTCGAAGGGTCTTGCACCGCATCGCGACACAAAGAGAGTCTCTCCACCCCTCCTCATCGTGCAAAGACGTGACAGGTAGGGCGGACACCTTCCGTCCCGATCTCCCTGTCCCATTTTCACTCTTATTCGGTTCTCCCTTCCCTCATAGGGATCATATGAGATTACTCCAGCCTTGAGTCTACACGGCGTTTACTGTACCTCTCGGAAAACCTCCCCATTCTCTCACGCCCGCCTAAAATCACCCTCTTTGTAGCCTAGGCGCCCTTGACGTCACCTCCGCTGATCTGCGAGGTGTGCGCATTTCCCAAGCTCGGTAGAGCTTGGGTCTCGGTCGACCGATATTCACTTTTTCTGTCCGTGTCATTTTCATTCGCATAGCCCACTCCTGGCCCCACCCGGTCTCAAATGCCGACATCGAGCTAGACTACAGTGCAAGTCTTGTCGCGCCTAAAGTATGGTTCGGTAGGGAATCGCAAACCATTACCCCTCCCCGAGTTTGGGCAGCTTCCACCTCCTGCGGCCGATACGAGTCTTTCAAGGAGGTGAAGCCGTGGGCTGTAGCTTGCTCCTAGAGATAGATGAAGGTTCTGTCGTTGACACACTTGTCCACGACCACATTGACATGGGAAAGTTGCTTGTTATTGCTGAGAGACGATCAGCAAGGGTCTGAGACGGAGTGAGGATCCAACTTCATCTCAGGGGGTACACAGAGTAGAAAATTCTAAGGGGGTAGGGGTCAGAAGGGTATACCTCCTGACCGACCCGCATCCTCTTAACAATAAGATGCACTCTTTCATGCTAGCAGCCACGCTCCTTAACACTAGCCCACCCTGAATATCATATACGCGGATTCTATTATCAAATCAACGCTCAAATCCTATAGCTACAGTAAGATTTAGATGATGATTAATGATCATGAATCAAAGATATGGCATCCAGAAGGAGGGTGAGTTGTAGAAGTATTCCGAATCACCCCCCCACACCATAATTGAGACGAAGAATGCGAACGGTCACGAGACGGAACGTCGACATCTCAATGACAACGCTTGAAGGGATAAAGCTACGAAGAATAGTCCAGACTATATATTGCTGCAGAGCACGCTATCATCCTGAACAGACGACGACAGAGGAAACAAAACCAACGTCCAAACGCCACAAACCACTCTTTGATGCGCACCCGCGCGTATCACCATTGGAGGAATGAGGGTGACTACCCGGGAGAGTCCAAAATACGGTGACGAAACTCAAAACCCAAACAAATTTCCGAACGAATACGGCCTTTGGTAGTGGACGCGACGCAGAGGGAAAACTCAACGCAATCTAGGACAACGTCAACGAAGGGCAGGAGAAAAGAACGACAGGCAAAGGCACGGAGAACGATTGCCAGCGTGCCAGGGTACCCAACTTGTATAAGGAGCCGGCAAGGGCAAGACCTAGTGAGGACCAAGGACGCAAAGCACAAACGATTAATGCAGGAGAGACGGTCTGACGAACTGCGCCATGGCTCGATGGCGATACGCATCATACAAACACATAAAACGCAGAAAAGTCGTAAGAGATTCACACAACAAGACGACGACGACTCCGGGGCGCTACTGTGATGAAGGCGTCGCCCGAAGGTGGCGATGATGGAGACGAAGCAGAACGAAGTGTGGGTGACGACGAACATCCAGGGGAGAAGGCGACGCCACGGGATGGAATCCCGAAGCACCAAGCGTATGCGACACTTCTGCGGCACGACAGAGCTAAAACAAAAAAATTTAAAGACAAACATTAGTTGGCAAACAGAAAAACCAGGAAAACGCGGGGAACTCGGTGTCCAAGTGTCCCGAGGCAAACAACACCGACGAAACTTGGGGACCTCTTTTTCCAAGTGTTCAGAGGCAAAAGTCACCGACGAAACTTGGGGAACTCTGTTTCCAAGTGTTCAGAGGCAGACAACACCGAGGAAACTTCGGAGGGAGCCTGTCGAGAGAACCAAAGACCAACAGCAAAATATTAAGCAAAGGCGAGAGAGAACGGGCATCCAGCTCGCGGTAGTTCACTGATTAAGACGAATGCAGGCAACAAGGGAAAAGGATCACTCGACAATGCGGCGTGTCTTGAGGCGGCGCTGCCCCAGCGTCCAAAACAAAAGATATAGCCAACAACAATTATTATAGAAAAGGGACAGGACAGAAACAAAACAAAACAAAACAAAACGGAAGGTGACAGAAAAAAAACAATCAAAGCGTCGGCGAGAAGGATGGCACAAAAGACCAAAATAGGCCAACTGGTATATGACAACGACGACGCTAAGAAGAAATGGTGGGAACAGCCGACGGTAAGGAGTGAGTAAGGAGCGGAGTGTGACCACGGTTGTCGCCCAGAGGGGGCGAACGATGTTTCTCTAAACACCATGATCCACAGACGGCGTCCAAGGCGGTGGAGTAGAGGTGCGCAGGCAGAGGGAGAACGCTTGGGCCCGGGTCATCCAAGAATCGAACGATGTACGAGCCGCCCTGATGAGCTCCAACACGTCCAGTCCACCACCATCACGGACCTTGTACCACAGCCGCGCGCCAACAGGGAGGGGCGAGGCGCTGAAACGACGAAGCCAAGTCGCGTGAAGCACAAGATCAGCCCCAGGAGGCAAACAGCGTTCTCCACTATTCCGGGCTAGCTCCCGCTGTGCCGCACGAGTCCGAGCCACTCGATATGTACGGTTACCCTGCTTGCGTTGGCAGACCTCCCGGGACCAGTACAAGAGGATGTTACGACGGAACTGATCGAGGTCGGATTCCCGTTCCCATGAAGGAGTAGTCAGGCCGAACCAATGCGTCGGGTACAGGACAGCGAGAACGCCGCTATGGCCCCGCACCAGTTGATGTCTCGAGATTTTGTCGACCTCGAGGCGCCCGACAGGCACCGACACATCATCCGCGGTGACGTGGGACGGTGGACATTTATCTCCGAAAGAGTGAAGGACATAACGCGAAAACTCGGCGGGTAGAGATTGGGGCAAGTCGTCCGTCTCGTACGGATTGCGACAGGGCTTGCAATGAAGGACAGACACTCGACAACGAGCTGCCGGGCCGGAAAGATCGGAAGGCAAGTCCAGGTAAAGGAGTTTACGCGCCAACGGGCGGCCGTCCGGAGTGGCGTCGGCAGAGGCTGGACCCACCGCAAGAACTTTGTAGGGCCCCGTCCAGGAAAGTGCGAATTTGGCCTTGAGCACCATTTGGTCCATGTCCTTCTGCACACCCTGTCGAATCGTAGCAGCCGTGTTGTACACCCAAGCCCACCCGCCAACGGTAAACTGAGGGAGCTTGTGAACGGCGTCCTGCAGGGATGAGTTGCGGCGTTCGACTCGCGAATTCTTCAAGGCGTTGTACTCACGGACAAGTTCGTAGGCCTGGCGCTGGCGATCGACAGCCAGGTTGCAATACTCGAGTTGATCGCGGGCCAAGCTTTGATGACCACCTACCGTGGGATGATCGAAAACCGAAAGCGGGAGTCACGGGATGCGTCCGATGTGGATCTCGTTTGGCGCTGATCCAGTAGACTGGTTCACGCAATTGTTGTAGGCAACTCAACGTGCGGGAGATGTACGTCCCAATCGTTTTGCTGTTCGTTGACGACCACCGCAAGCATCTTGGACATCGTGTGGTTGACGGGTTCCGTGCCGCCGTTGGTCTGTGGGTGGTAAGAGCTGGTGGTGACCTCCTTGATCATCACCTCGTAGATCACCATGGAGAGCTTCGAGCAGAAATGCAGTCCGTTGTCCGACAATAACGTAGTCGGACATTTCCACTTGGTCATGTAATGGTTGACGAAGATGTGAGCCTTCCCTTTCGCCGCAAATTCCGACGTTGTAACTGCGAACATGTGGGCTTTCCGACTGAAACGGTCTGTGAACAAGAGAATGTAGGAGTTGCCCTTAGCAGTCACTGACAGAGATCCCAAGAAGTCGACGCCGACGACCGTACCAGGCCGCTGCGGCAAGGGCATAGCGATGACGGGCCACCGAGCAGTCTGATGTGCAGTCTAACGAGCTCGACACACCAAACACGCCCGAAGCCACTAGCGCACGGAACGATCCAAACCAATCCACCAGTAGAAACGTTCAAGCAGACGCTGTGTACGATGGACGCCGAGATGGAAGGACGCGGCGGAAGGACGCGGCAGTATGGCATGCATGAAGCACCCACGGACGCATCAGCATTGGCACGTAGACACGGGGCACGCCAGTATCCGGCAGCGAGTGGTCCTTCCGCCAGAGCGCCCAATCGGCGACGGCGCCGATTTATGTACGAGGAGGGTGACGTTGTCGCCGGTCGTGTGCAGTCTGGTTTTCGCCGCCAACGCAAGCACATAATCTAACCGAGGGGAGCGAAGAGGAGCACGGAGAGTGAGCAAGGCCGGAGGGGGTGCGGAGGGAGAACAGCGAGACAAAAGACGCATAGTCACCACACACTCGCTCTCCCGCTGTTGTTCCATAGCCCAATCCACAGTGCTGAAGCTCTGAACACAAGCCCGCAGGTGGGAGGTGATTAAATCAGTAGATTCCAAACGAAAGTCAGGCGATCCAACGGAAGAGGCTGAAGAAGGAGAAGCCCCAGCGACTGGGGCAGCCGCTGTTTGTGATGATGTCTGCGAAGGGGATTTCGTGAGGTGCGAAGTCCCGGGCGAAACCTGTACAGAAGGCGAAACCGGGGATGCAGGGCGCTCCGATGACGGCGAAGACACCGGTGACACAGGGGAAGTCGACGAAAACGCCGATGCCGGCGTCGCGGATGGCCCAGCAGACGCGCGACGGTTCGGGTGGTCTTGTTTGTCGAGCGGGGCCTGCTAGAGCGACGGGTAGACGACGATGTCCGAGGGACGATGGTAGCCCGCGGATGGCGTCCGAAATAAGCGGGACCGGTGACGGTGCCTCCGGAAGCAGCGGTAGTCTTGGCCCGAGTCCGTGAAGAAATGAGCGGTCCCCTCTCCGGAAGCGAAGACAAAACGTGCACATATCTAGTCACCAAAGACGCGACAGGAGACACCACGCGGGACGCAGCAGGAGTCAAAGGGGAAACTGGGCCTGAAGATCCGGGAACAGGCGAAACGATGAAGACCCCCGGAGACCGCGGAGAATCCTTGCAGGCAATCGTTGAGTCCGTCAGAGCATCCAGCCGACGCGGGTGATATCGGCGAAAATCTCCAAAATCGGAGGGCAGGAGCGCTGGGGGCGAAAAGGCTCCCGCCGGGCAAGGAGGGCGGAGCCCACCCAAACCGATCTCCGGCGTAGACGACGACTGATAGTTGCGCCCGCAAGTCCAAATGAGGAAAACACCCACTTGATCGACACCATCAATGCAATCGGGGCCGGTATTGTCCGTGTCTTGTGCTGGTACAGGCAGCCGCAATAGGAAATCCACGTTGCCGCTTGCCGAACCGTTCCGATATTTTATTGTGTATGAGGACACTAGTCCCTGTCAGAGACAGAGGCCGGTGCTCTTGCAGTGTTCTCCCACTGCCAAGGGTGGCTATTTCCTTCCGTGAGATGTAACGAGGAGAGAGGTAGAGAAGAGAGAGTGGCCGGAGAGAGCTGAAGGAGAGGAGAGTCGAAGACTCTCCACTTCGTCTCTCGGTAAGTGGCCAGGGACTTCGGAAGATACGAATCTCCGACGGTGCTTTTCTTGTCACTCTCCCAGTGACAAGATACCCCGATGGAGCTATATCTTCCTACACTTTGTATGTGTACACATGGTTGGTTATACTCCAGACAGGTGTCCTCCACATGTAGGTGAAATTGCATAGAAATTCGAGCCATCGTTGCACCCTAGCGTTGTGTTCCCCAACCTTGCCAATGCCTCCAAGGCTTTGTGGTCCGAATAGATGATGAACTTGGTTGACCACAGATCACCGCGAAGGCGTTTGATGGCCCAAACAATGCCACCAGCCTCCAGATCCAGAACGGTCCAGTTACGCTCCGCAGGAAGAGTAGCGCGGCTGATGTCCACAATGGGCCTCACCGAGCCATCGAGTTGTTCTTGTTCCAAGGAGGCGCCAAAGCGTCGATACATGCGTCGGAACACAAACGGAGAGGACGCCTGTCGACCTCGACCGCTGCACAATCCGGGAAGATCATAATCGGGGGACGAGCGAGTTCGCTTCATAGCGTTTTGACAACCTTGACCATGCCCGGGGTGCACTTGAAGGGAACGCCTTGTTTGAGAAGAGAGTTGAGAGGCCGCACCTCGGTGGCGAGATTCTTGAGGAATTTCCGGTAGTAACTGAGTCCGCGGAGAATGCTCCAAAGCTGCTTAACATTCGTCGGCGGCGGCATGTGCGTGAGGGCCCTGACCTTGACGCCATCAGGGCTAACACTGCCCGGAGAGATGACGTGACCGAGGAAGTTGACGTGTGTGGCGCCGACCCGAGCCTTCCCCGGAGACAGTTTGAGGTTGTCCTGTCGCAGCCGTTTGAAGAACCCTATCATGTTGAGCACGTGTCCCAGAGGTTCCTCATTGAAACAGATGACATCGTCCAGATAAGCAAGCACACGCTCCAGACCGTACACCACTCTGTTGATGACCTTGACGAACCAAGATGGACTTGCGTTGGCTCCCTGCGGCATTCGAAACCATTCGAACAACTGCGTTGGAGTGCAAAAGGCGGTGAGCGGGACAGTGTCTTCATCGCAAACGATCTGGTGGAAAGCCGAGTTGAGGTCGAAGATGGAGAACACTTTCCCGGTGTACAGAGAATCCAAGATACCGTCCACCCGAGGGAGAGGTTGTCCATCCAAATCCACCAGGGCTTTATACGCTTGAAGCTGACGGTGATGCGAACCGATCCGTCCTTCTTGGGGATGACAACCAAAGGAGAAGCCCACGGAGACGCGGAATGCTGAATGAGCCCTGCCGCCAAATACTGGTCCCAAATAGCATCCACTTTCTTTTGTATCAACGGGTTGATACAATACGGACTTGATGCAACGGGCTTCGTCCCTGCGGGGACACAAAGAGTGAACGGCATGATGGTGCAGGAACCAAAATCGGTTTTCGAAGTAGAGAACACGTCAGAATACTCCACAAGGGCGTCGGCCAAGCGATCAATAGCCTCCGGTGTCCATCCCGGATCGTGTAGATCGAAAGCGATGTCGTGCATATGTGCGGGCAGCCTAGCCCACAAGCGCATGAAGCTGGAGCACTGTGCCTCAGAGAAGCCGTCAAGTAGTTCTTGTGGAGGCGGTTTCGGGGGAGGCGGGACGGAGGCTGGGTCCGGAGAGCGGTGAGTCCCGGACTTGAAGCCAACGACGTTGACCCGAAGTGGTGTTGTAGAGGTTGTGGGACCGGTAGGAATCGAAGATGGTGCCGCCTCCAGGGTTTCCACCGGTACTCGTAGTAGCGGCGCGGCAGACACTCCAATTACGTCTCCTAGCTCGAGCTCGGCACAACCTGCAAAGGGAATACCCTGGAGACCATTGGAAATGAACGCATCTGGGAACGAAAGCGCACCCACTTCGGGTTTGAACGATACCAGATACTCTCCAATCAGCGCAGGCATGCCAGAAGAACGAACGAGGTCCACCTCAACGAGTGCAGGCTCCGGCCCCAAAGGAATTCCCGAGCTCCCTGCATATTTAAGGTGAAACGAGGAGGCAGGAGCGTCGTCGTGTGTAGCGTAAACGCAAGCGCCAGCTGTAGAACGCGGAGAGAGCGCGAGCTCGCCCATAACCCGGCCGTCCGGTCCAGGGTGGGGGAGGGTGGTGAACACGCGAGAGTTGAAGCGCATCGAGCTATCACGACCCAGAAGCATGGCGTGTCCCATGGTGGCGTCTGGAACAACACAGGCCCAGACCGCCAAGGAAGCGGTAGCTCTATCTCCATGGAGAAAATCAACGGTGAGACGAATTGACCGGGTGGTCACAAGAGCGGGTCCACAACCAAACCCACCCCAACGACGAGAGGGCGAAACACGAACACTGCCAGTGGTCAAAGCTCCAGCAGCTATCATGGCGGTGACCACGGAGTCGGAAACGAAGGATGCAGGAGACCCAGAGTCCAGAAGCGCCACTCGCGCGAGTTGANCACGAACACTGCCAGTGGTCAAAGCTCCAGCAGCTATCATGGCGGTGACCACGGAGTCGGACGCGAAGGACGCAGAAGATCCAGAGTCCAGCAGCGCCCCTTGCGCGAGTTGAGGAGTGGCTGTCGGTCCTCCATGCAGGAGAACCCGGGTGGTGTATGAGTCCGAGTCCAACTGGAGCGTGCCGCCGACCAGATCGGGCCCATGTTTGAGAAGAGGAGGCTGGTCCGCACAAGCGGAGGTCGATGCCACCAGATGAACGCCAGGAGCATGATCCCCCGGAGCGTCCAAACGTAGACAAGTCGGGTCTTCGCCCCGGTCCTCCCGTGACGACGAACCTGCTGCAGTAGCAACCTCATGAATGCGTCGATGTCCATGGAGAGGAGGCTGCGAAATGGGGGGCGTGGGAGAAGTGGAAGCAGAGAAATCTTCGCCAGATAGGGGATGATCACGCAGAAGGCTTCGAACTTCCATCAAAGATTTTCCCAACAAGTTTTTACCGCTAGCCGCTCACTTGGATGAAACGCTATCCTCTGGAAAGCATGCAGACATGCCGATACCCCAAACACGATCGAAGGGGCTGGCTTCCGCAAGGAGGTGGGTACCTGTCTTCAGTAAATGATATTGTTTTGAGCAAATCTAGCGTACGACCCCGTAAGCACGATCTCTTCTCGACGACGCTCCCATTCATCATAGTCGAAAGGACGCACGTTACGACCCAAAAACTTGTGTGTCGAAGGATCGGTTGTAGCCATTATTTTGTCATGCGACGTCATATCCCCAAACAACTTCGCTTTTTCAGACATCATAAATTGCTCACCACATGAATAACGTTCCCCCAGTGCGTCAAAAGACGAAGGAGTCCGTTGCGAAAACACAGACGGAGGTTTCCAGAAGAGAGGGACGTCATCCGAAGCGTACTCGCACTTGTCATCAACGGCGGAGCCGGTGCAGGGCGAAGGGGCAAAAAGCGGGCACCCGGCACAGGCGGGGGTGGACCAGGCGGACGGGTCCTCATCTCTGACGGGGAGGACCCAGAACGCGAGGCAGGAGCGGGCGAAGTCGCAACGCGCCGTGATATGGAGGGCGGCCTGATGGCGGCGCTCCAGCGGGGTTAATGTTAGCAGAGGCCATTCGGCTATTAGAGACCCGTTCGCTAGATAGAGGCCCGTTCGTTAGAAGAAGTCATTCCTGCAACAGACGGATGTTTGATCATTGACGCTCGGCGCTCTTGACTGCTCCCCCTTGACAAAGGAGCCGAACCTTCCACAGAATGGTGGGCACTGCCATCCGATCCCGATGGAAGCGATGGAGTCAGCACGTGGTGGGCAGCAGAGGAAGACGCATTCGTATCAGGTGCTGTCACACGGGGGCAGCGGACGGTCGAAGACAACGAAAGCTGCGAAAGAGAAGGAGGATCGACGGGGTTCCCGACGAGTGTAGAAGAAGGCTCGTGTGCTGTCCGAGAAGAGTCCCGGCTGACAACACCAGGAGAATCTTGACGAACACTAGAAAACGAGGTTCTTGTTCCTTCTGTAACCCGAGACGGCGAGGTGAGCAGGGTTGAACCGCTCGATGTCTTACCTCCCTGTCACCCACACCACAAAGTTACTTTTGTCATGTCCACTACCCGCAGACGACGAGGCGGACGACGAGGAGGCGGGCCGAAAAACTAGATGTGATTAAGGAGCGTGGGGAGTATCCAAAGAAATAGGCTGTACACGAACATCTTGGGAGACTCCAAAAGGTTGCACGGTGGTTGCTGTTGACGGTAGTAACGGCTGACCTCCGCCATCGGCTTGTCATTTCTTCCCCCTCCAGCCCCTTTTTGTCGAAGTGGAAGCCTCCGGCGAGCGCTCTGTGTGTGAGGACGGTTTCGTGTCCGATGTGTCAGATGAGCGGCGGGGCCCAAAGTGTGGGATGTTTTTCCATACAGAACTTGATGTCATTGTTAAGCAAGCCGGTGGCGTTCACGAAACCAGGATTACAGGATTTGAAGGAGTGGTCATCTCCCAAGCAGTTGAGGCACTTGCCCTTGTACAGTCGAAGCGCGTTGCGGCGTTCTTCAGCCGAGACCAAGGGGATGAACAATGGCGGATCATTCTTGGTTAGAACCATCTCACTAGCGACGTAATACACCTCTTGGAAGTGTCCTTGCAACGGCCAGTCACCGTAATGCAACAGAAAAGGGTCCCGATCATCATTGGGTAGAGGGTCAACACTCGCCACGGCGGCCGAAGAGCCCTGGCTCCACGAAGGGGTCACCGTCGAACGCAACGCCGGAGAAGCTACAGCACGCGAAACAGCAGACGAACTCCTAGCATTCGTGGAAGATGCCGAAAAGAATCATCTCCATGCACCGCCGGCGTGTGCGCGAATGCATGCTTGTCCAACACATCCCACATATCATCCAGACACGAAGCTTGTCGCCCAGAAGGGGCTTCCATGGAGAGCTGCTCATCCTTGTACACCTGCCCCGACACTACCAGAAACTGCTTCAACATGAAGTCTCGAACAGCTATCTGCACTTGCGCATCCGAAGGCTTGAACGCGTGGTGAGAAGCCATGACGGTCATGGCCAGAGCCTTATAGCGACGAATGTATTCTCGGTAAGTCTCGGCGTTGGATACGCCAAAACTGCGAAGACGATCAATGCCCGATCTCTTGTCTTGAGTGCCCCAGGCAGCCGCCAATTTCTGGATGAAAAAGACGTACGTCGAGGGCCCTTCCGGTTCCATGCGCAGATGGTTTCTACCTGTAGCAAGGTGGCATCAAGGAATTCCAGCGTAGCACGGTTGGTGGTTTGGCCTTCAACGAAAGCAGCACGGACACGTTTGGGGAACAACGGAAGCCATCCGGTGACCCAGGTGGAGGAATTGAAAGTCTGCTTGCGCTAGACGTCGCTCTTGTTGAGGATCTCTGTGACCACACCCTTGCAGCTAGACGCGAAACGAGCAAATTCATCAGGATCAGGACCGAGGGGCAAGCGTGTGACACTATCAAGTCGTTCCGGCTTCAGCTTGTCCATCTTGTCTTGAATGCGGATGGTGTCGGCCTCCGCTGCAGCGGCGTCCGCAGCGTCCAGAGCCTCCTGCCTCGCTATCGCTCCCGTGGAAGACAAGGGCAAGCCAGCATCGTCCTGAGTCAACGGCGATGTCGCTTGACCCGGTGACTCGACGATGCGGCCGGTCGCGGAGCTAGGATCAATCAGAATAGACGCACGCTGGAGGGGGGGGGCGATACCACCAAAGGCTAGTGCAACAGGGCTGGGGCTGCCGGCGATGACGGTACCACCGCAGGTCCGACCGGTACTGCCGCCGACATCGTGGCTGATGACGATGACCCTGACGTGGCCCTTGCAGCGGTTTCGGCACGAACATCGCGCCCTACAGGAGCTCCCGAAAAGCTCGACGCGTGGTCTTGCAGCGGGGTCAGATGCGTTCGTGGGAAAATGAATGGGGCAGGTGGTGGCTCGCTAGGAGCGTGGGAGGGCACAGGAGGTTGTACATTCGCGTCGGCAGCAGCATCCACAACTTGATTTGCTCGCAGGAGAGTGAGTACTTGTTCCAACAGCATTTCAGTACGGGAAGCCGAAGTCGAGGCGTGTGATGCAGCATGGCGTGGTGACTCAACACGTTCGTCCAAAGGCAAGGAAGATGTGGGATGATCCATAACGTCATGGGCAGGGGCATGGCTGTTCACAGCGGCTGCGTGTTCACGAAGTTGCATGTTGGCAAGTTTGAATGCCAAAGAAGACCTGTTCGGTTGGCTTACATCAGCGGGCGGGCGTAGAACAAGCGGTGAAGAACAGAGCTACGAAAACCACCCCGATCATGCATCACTTGCCTGTTTCCGTGGTCTGACTTCCGTCCCCCTTTTCCGCCGCGACCGCTGTCATTGCTGGTCGCCCTGCTGTTGCCCCCGCTCCGGTTTTGGCTCCGGCTGCGGCTACGCCTAGACGAAGGATTGGTGCGCTGTTGACGTTCTGCGCTCCGACTCCTGCTCCGGCGGTGGCGGCTCGCCGGCGAAGATCTGGTAGGCTGGGTCCCCGCGGCTTGCCCTCGCCCGCCATCTCCGGGACCGTGCCCTTGCGAAGACTGGGTGGAGCGGCGGTGGTCGTCCGTCCCGCTCTTGGCCGTCGAATCTTGGTCACCCCAACGGTTCTTCCAGCTAATAGATGCAGGAGCCGCCGACCGACTGTAGTCCTTGTTCCCTCCAAGAACATGGGCAGGGCGTGAAGAGGCCGGACGGGAGGCCTGCAGATCGCGCTTGAAATCAGTTGTCGAGACCGCACGAGCAAGAGGCAGCTGGGGGTCACCATCGTGGGTCACCATCGACGTTTCTTGAGGACCGTCAAAAAAGGTGGCACGACGGAGAGCGAACAAAAGCCGGAACACGGACTGCCGAGGAGAAGGTGGAAGTTTCGCGATTTAGGGGGCAGAATAAATGTGCCCCAAAGCAACGGTGTGAGAGTGGGGAAATTGAGCACGGACGAGTTGTTTGACGCCAGCCCATGCAAAAAGAGCTTCCAGTTCATCCTCATCGTGAAAAGTTACGTCTTCGGCTGGCATCTCCAGTGGGCGGGACAGGAACGCTGTATCGCCAACATGGAACTCGTACCCCGCGGCTTCGGCCGCAGTCGATGCCCCGCCTTTACCGGCCGGACGACCCAACGTCACCGAAAACTCCGGAGTAGCCGCCACCTCCCGTCCGTTTTCCTTCGCCACAGAGGCACGCTGCGATTGCAATTGGAGGGGGGCAACAACACGACGATGGGGAGAGGGCGAGGGCAAAGCCTCTGCGTGCGGGCCATGGGGGGGGAACTCGAGGTGGTCCGGCCGTGATCGGAGCGCCCCCTGCGTCGCCATAGCAGCTTGGACGTATGCCTCGCGCTCCGCCAGCTCAGCGTTACGATCCTCCTCCTGCTTCCGGGCTGCCGCCAGAGCAGCCGCACGCTCCTCCTCCTGTTTCCTCGCAGCACCAGCCAGGGCAGCCTCACGCTCCTCCTCCTGCTTCCCCGGAGCAGCAGCCAGAGCAGCCTCACTCTCCTCCTCCTGCTTCCTCGCAGCAGCAGCCAGAGCAGCCTCACGCTCCGCCACGCGCTCCGCGCCCTCTCGCTTCGCCTGCTCTCGCGCCTCCGCCTCTGCTATCTTCCCGGCAAGACCGTTGCACCACATCTCGTTGCACCACATCTCGTTCAACCTTTGGTAAGCCATAAACTCAATGTGGGGTAAGAGGATCAATTTGTCTTCCGGGGGGAGCGAGAAAGGAGGAACGCAAAGGGGGGAATCGGACGACAGACGGGCCGCCCCGGCAATATCCTCCAGAGAGGTACGTCCTGCGTTATCGGCGTCCTCCAGGTCCGCCGGATCCGCCGTGGCGATGTTGTCCAGCAAATCATCGACGGTGAACGCGCGGGGTGTGGGGCAGCGCTCGTCTCCCGCACCGGCCTCCGAAAACTGTTGTGCGGTGAGGTCCTCTCCCTCGGGTTCGTAGTCCAGGAGTTCAACATTGCCGCTGGACACTATTTCCTCTTCTTTGACAGAGACAGGGCCAGACAAAGGGAATCTACGATCGATTGTGGGAAGTGCAGTAGGGCCAGAGACAGCAGGTGTAGCACGACCATCCGCAGCAGAGGCAGCAGGACCAAGGGAAGCAGAAGCAGTAAAGCGGGGTGCAACCTCGGGTAAAGCAAGCCGAGGTCCATGCGAAAGGCGGAGATACCCACAGGATAGCACACGCCCGGTGGTAAAAGCTTGGTGCACATGAGGTTGAAGCAGATCCAACCAAGCAGAAAAAGCGTCCAAAAGCACACCATGCCACGCACAAACATCAGTAGAAACTAGCACAAAAGGACCCGTGTTAGATGGGGACACGAGGTTTTCCGACCAAAAGACACGCAGAGCAGCACGACGTTCGTCCGCAACTTGTGCCGAAGTGCGAGCAAAGACCGCTGTGGGCTTGCGCTTTTGAAAGGCTTCCAATTCAAATGCTTTGAGGGTGAACGATTCCCCCCCAAAAAGTGCCATGTGATTTCGAAAAATGGAGGGAAGCCTGGTGGGACGGCTGACACCCAACTTGTGTGGACACAACGCGCTCCACGTTGAGGCAAGCGGAGTCAAGTCGGAGAGCACAACAGGAAAATCCGCGGACATCGGCCGGTTCGCCGGCATGAATGCAGTAGAGGTGGTAGCAGACGTGGGAAGCATGCTGTCATTTCGGGTCCCACTACACAAGGCCAGCAACGCAGGTCGCTGCATGCAGAGCGTATCCACCACAGAAATAACTTCATGGACCGCCGATGCAGACAAAATAACTTGTGACGGACGGCGAACGCAGGAAAAATCGCCCAAAACATCGGTCGGAATCTCGTGTTTCCTCGGAATCATCTGCTACATTACACGCACACTTGGTTTGGTGGAGGGGGAGCATGGTGGCGATGAACCAACGTCATCGGCTGAGTCCCACTGATGGCGGTCCCCACCTACACCCTGGCTATTGCGAAGAGAATCGAAGCATGTTGGTTGAGAGGATGCCTACTACGCGTTCGCCGGGCATCTACGCACTACACTGCAGGGGTCGGGGTAACGAAGCACAGAGTGCATAGAGGCTTGAACCAGCCGTTCTCACTTAGGACACCACTTTGGTCAGGAGAAAAGAAGGAGCATCGGGGGAAAATGGGGGTGGCAGCTTTGGGGGACTTCGACCCAAAATTGGTTCTCTGCAACGGGAGTATTCAGGTCAGTTCAATTGGACGGTAATGTGTCCACTCGCTACCCGACTACCGATCCTCAGTACACGGCACGGTAGCATTGGTGGTTCACAGTGCTCGTGCGTACTGAAAAACCAGAACGAGTAGTAGTAGTAGACTTTGTGTGGTTGACTGTACTCGTCAACATGTTGAACGAACTGTATTTCATGGAGTAACACTCGTGGTAGGCTGAGTGATGTAGTCATTATTTTCAGTCGCCGTCAAACTCTATGGATATATGCAATCAATGTAGGTGTGTAGGGGTGCTCTCATTTATTACGAGGGCTTGGTACTCAGGTAGGCTGAGTTGTACCGTATGTGTTCTATGGTCGAGTGAAATGATGCAGTCAGCTTGTACATAGTCGAACTCCGAGTACCGCTTCAGTGCGCATTTTTTGTGTAGTTTTCCTCAAAATCTGAGGCATACAGGTTTCGGGTGGTTTGATCTGCGAAGACTTGGTACTCGGGTCAGACTGTATATGAAGTCTATGTACGTATGCATATACATGTGATTGAGTGCAGTAGACAACATGCTTCTTGCTTATGCAAATGTAGCCACCTCCGAGTACCGCGTCATGTACTTAGAGTGTATTTTACTTCCCATTTCTGAGGTATTAAGATCTCGAGTGATTCGATTGACGCCACAGGCAGGCTTGTTTACTCGGGTAGGCTGGGTGTGTGTGCAGGCACGTACATGGTGGATGGAGTAAAACAAGCACGCACGCACATGGTGGATCGAGAAAAATGACAACAAATTTAGTCAAACTCCGAGTCTTTCATTTGCTTTACACGGGAAACTCTTGATGTATTTAGACTATATATATTATGTAGGATTCGAGCAATTGCTTTTCACTACTGGAGGGCTTCCAAAAGCGTTGTTGAAAATACTTGCTCAATGTTAAAACTCGCGTATGATACACCCTACAGAATTGTTTCAGAAGCCAGCCGACGAATATCGTCGGCGTGCTAGTCCCAAGCTCGCTTTTTTCTTTGTTGCCGTTGTGCCGGACACTTAGTTCGCCAACGACGGAACGTTCCATGCACTTGATTGAGAAAAAATACGAGAGTCATGCGCCCGATTGCTCATTACTCGCCAACAAAGGAAAAAATAACGCCGGATACAAGGGCCGGACGGGCGGATACACATGTCGCCCGAGTGGCTGATGGACATGTCGCGAAATGGCTCAAAGGCAGGGTCGCTTGAGTCGCCATGGAGAAGATCGCGGTCGCCTGAGGCTGGTGTCCTCCGTCCAGAAGGGCTGTGTTGTGGTGACTGATGATGGGGCCGTTGTTGATGAGTTCGTCCCGAAGGGCTGCTGCCGTCGCTGTGACGACGGCGATGTCGCCTTGTAGAAGGGCTGTGATTTTGTGCAGGCCGAGTGTAGAGACCGGCGGGGTGGCGACGCACAAAGATGTCTTGAGACACGCCAGCATGTGTTCGTGGGAGTGCGTATGTAGTCGGATCTGTAGACGAGATGACTGTTTCAGGTGCCCTGCACATAGGTATGCGTTGGGCAGTACGAACAGAGAATGATTGTGCGGAGCCCCCATGCCAGCTGCATTCAGCTGTCGTGCGCGGGCACTCCATGCTCTTTCCCCCCAACCGGGTGTGAGACATAACAAGCATCTAAACATCAAGCACCACAGTCTCTACAAAGACAACAAGGGCATACCATTTAGGGTTGACGAATTCTTGTACTGCAAGGAGTTGTTCCAGTTGGCGTCGACGTTGTCAGGCGATGTGACGATTCCTCCGGCGAGGCAGTCGTACTTGTGCCACCGTCCTCTTACACGCGCCTGAGTCACGAAGTGGCTCCGTGATTTTCCTCCGCCGAGCGCGATATTGTAAGATACGCCGACCAAGGAATATTGAGCGCCCATGAGGAGGGTCAGTGACGTCGCCATGGGCTGATGGTTGAGCCCGTGAAACATTTCAGAAGAACGGAAGAAGACCCTGCTGTATGCCGATGATGCCGGCGTCGTATCGAGGCCTGCAGAAGGACTGGCGAGAATGATGACCATCATCGTTGAGGTGTTCGGGGAGTTTGGGCTGACGGTGTCAGAGAAGAAGATGGAGACGCTCCTGATGCGCGCGAAGGACAAGCCGACTACAACATCACAGCCCGCCCCGCCTCCATCGCTGACCATCGAAGCCGCGGGACAGAAATACGCCCAGACGACCGAGTTCCGGTACCTNCGGCCACTATCAAACGCTGCGGTCCATACACCACCGACTGCTCCTTCGAGCTATCGGGTACAAGCGCAAGAAAGACACCTACCGGCAGCTCTCTTACGCCCAGACGCTGAAGGGGGTCGAGAGCCAGAGCGTTGAAGCCACGACCCGACAGCGACGCCTACTGTTCGCAGGAGCATTGGCAAGGCAGCCGGACGGGCGACTCCCGAAACGACTGATGCTCGGCGAACTGGCAGGGGGGGAGAAGCGACGTAGGGGGGGGCAGGAACATAACTGGCCGAAGTGTGTGCTCGACGACCTGAAGGCATTCGGCGCCGCCCACGGATCTACGACAACCGATCAATGTTGCCTCGGAGTCCCGGTACCGAAGGACACGGCACCGACGTTAAAGCGGACGGAAGCCGCGAAGGTGGAGGGGGGAGTACCCTGGCATGCGGCGGTGCTGCAGGGAGCTGAGAGGTTCATGACCTCCTGGCACGAGAAGGAAGGGGAGGCCAGCCGACAACGGGCGCCGAAACGAAACCACAAGCCACCAACCAATGGGGCGGGAGGGGGGTAGGAGACG